TTTGTAGCGCCCCCAGAAGAGCCTTCTGGAAGCCGCTCGGCGCTGGGGAAGGAATGCGGCGCTCGGGGCTGCACCCCCCCAGGCTCACGGGGACGGGACGGGGCGGGAAGGAAGGAGAATGTACTGGACGGAGCGGCGTACGGGCGCTGGGCGAGGTGGTAGCGTGCTGCGCCCGGTTACGTGAGGGCAGAGGAGGGAAGACAGGCACTGGGTGGAAAAAGCGTGCTCGGTGCTTCTCACCGGAGCGCCTTCGGAAAGGTTTCGGTCCCCCACCCGTTCATAGGAAAGTAGTACTGCCCTTCCCTACAAATTTTGCAGGCTGAGCATAACTCTGGGTTGGGCATTGGCGAGTTGGGGTGTGTGGTGGTGAATGTCCCTGTGTCCCAGGAAAAAGTTTGTCCGCAAAGGAATAACGGTAACTCCTGGATGTGTCCCCATGACGGACTCCCGGGAGGTCTGTGGCGGGGAGGTCCTTGCTTGCGCCGCTCTTGAACTGATTTGGGGCGCAGTGCTCCCCTCCCGCATGCGGAGGGCCAGGGGTTTAAATAGAAACCGTATTCCTGCCCCATCGTGCCTCAGCTTTTTAGCTGCTGTACCATTTCTCTGGGATCGGCTGAAGTGGTGGTATACGGTATTTTTTTTTAACTCTCTTACGTGCTTGCTCTTTGCTACAAGATACCGTCTTGTTTCAAGTGACAGAAAACAGTCTCTGTCCGTCCCCGGCCGCGATGTCCCAGGCGCTAGCGAAAGAGGTCCCGCAGGAGGAGGGCGAGAGTGGCTCTCGGAGAAGCAGCTGGGGGCTGCTGGTCACGGCCGGTGTGGGAGGGACCTTGGTAGCCCTCTATGCTGTGGCCACCCCCTTCGTGACCCCGGCCCTGAGGAAGGTGTGCCTGCCCTTCGTTCCTGCAACCGCCGCTCAGATCCAGAATGTGCTGAAAATGTTGGAAAACAGAAATGGCTCCCTAGTTGACATTGGTAGCGGAGATGGCCGCGTTGTAAGTTGTGAATGTTGCCTTCTCTTTAGATCACCTCTTAAAAAAGTGCGAAAATGCTGGGGCTGCGTTTTCTCACTCTTAAAAATGTCTTGTCTTTGGCGTCCGATGGTTGTGTCAGAGTCTTATGAAAAGGATCAAAGCTGGGAAAGTTTACATTCAAAGTTTTGATGAGTAATAAATAGTTTTTGCTGCAGTCTTACCTTTAGCTTGACCAAGGTAGTGGACAAAATGTCATTATGATGACTGGAGGGAATCACAGTGCGTTCACTTGAAAAGATGCAATCAGAGTCTTGGTACTGATTGACAAATAGCTGTGATTCCACAAAGGTGTGTAGCTGCAGCAAGTGAGGCTGTGAGATTCTTAATGTATAAAGATGATAGAAGTGCAAAAAGAAACGGCCAATGAGCGATGGATCATAGAAATAAAAATCCTGGTGGGGTTAGAACTGTAGTCTTCACATCTTTGTGCAGTGCTGGCTTTGCTGCTTCCAAATCCATGTGGTGAAACTAGAATAAGAACCAAGAGAAATGGTGAGAATCATGAAAGAAAAAGTGATACTGTGTTTCCAGAGTATTGCTTCAGCCCCAGTTTGTGAAATGAGATGAGGATATTGTGGAGAATGATGTGGTTTGATTTTTCTTTTGTTGCTGTGATGTTTTGTATGCTTTTTCATAACTATCTGCTTCAAGTCAAATTTAGCAACAGGATGGTGGTTTTTGATGGAATCATGCAAGTTCTTGAATGCTGTCTTTGTCCATGTTTTATGTGATTGAGTCAACTATTTGTCCATGTAAAAAAAAATTGATTTGGAACCCCATATCTGTGAGGATTACTTGAATTGTACCTGCATAGGAAAAAGACCAAAAAAATTAGGCATGAGAGAACTGCAGTGTCTGATGCTCTCTCTGTTCATCATTATGGCTGATGACTCTCATCAGAGCTATCTAATTTTAATAGCTGCTGTGTCATTAATTTTGTATATTATATAGGTACCTAAATGGAGACTGAAGATTATTTGGAAAGCTAGGTGCCTAAAATTGAGCACTTGGTGTTTCCTTGATGCATCTGTCCTGAAAAAAGTCAGTTCAGGTGCTTTTAATTATTTAGCAATTACTCAGGTGTAATCGGTGGATAAATATGAAGATAGTTACATTTCTAAGTGTGGTAAAAATGTCAGATTCTTTTGGTGAATTTGCAAGTACTCTGTATGTGATGGAAGATGCATTATTTTAACAGTGCAAAATATACAGTCTAGGTAAGGCTGTTTGAGAAGTTCTGTTAAGAAATGTGTGCTTCCTGATTTTACCTTGCTTGTTTTGTAATTGATAGTTCATCAGGCAATTCCTGATTAGAAGTTGGCAGTAACTGTTTAAATTATGTTTTAAACCTTTATTATAGAAATCAATGCATTTTTAATTTTTTTTTTAATGTAGATCAACAGATTACTTTCAGACTCTTTCTATTGGTATGTTATTTTGTCTCTGATTCAGGGGCTGCTCAAGTGCCTATCCCTCACTGCTTTTCAAATAAGTGGTCTAATTTTGAGTGTTTTTGCTTGCAAGTTTCACTGTTCTCTCAGGGATCAATGTTGGTACTCCAATTCCAAGACAGTGTCATTAATGTGTTAAATTGAACTTTTATGTAAATCATAGATGTACTGCAGTCCCACAGCTTTGCCCTGTGAATGTTTGTTTTAATTTTGTTTGCCTGACTATATTTCAGTTGGACTAGTAATAATAGTAAAATGTTGTTTTGAGTTTTTGTTCACTATGTAGTAATCTGTTGGGCATTAAAACCAAGATGACTTAGAAAAGTGCTCTTTGATTTATATTTTAAATAAAACTGTGTGCTCCTGTTTAGGTGAATAGACATATATGTTTCTAAGTGAAGATTTATTTTCTTTTTCATAGGTGATAGCAGCTGCAAAAAAGGGATTCCAGGCTGTCGGTTATGAATTGAATCCCTGGCTAGTCTGGTACTCCAGATATCGTGCCTGGAGAGATGGGGTACATCAGAACACCAAATTTTATATTTCAGATTTATGGAAGGTAGGTAGTGAATGATATAAGAATGAATCTGGGATGATTGAGATTTTTTAAGTTTGGAAATACTTTCCTGAAGGAGCTGAAATGCTGTCTGACCACAGGATGCTATATTGGCTTTGAGCAAAGTACTTGTGCTGGGAATCTGGTGTATGCTGTTCTGCTGCTTTTGTGCTTTATTCAAGTGCTTCCTTTATCAGTAAAGGCTCCTTGAGCAAGCTTGGGCCTGATGAATTATGTGTGAGGGTTTTTTTTGGCTGTGGGGGTGTATGTGTTCAGAGAGGAGCATAGGAAAACTTCATGGCACTGAACAGAAGAACTCGGTCATAAGAATGCCTAGAAAGTTTTTATAGCTAGCTAACATTTAACAAAAGAAGGGGCAAATCTAAAGCATACATTATTTTATCGTATACAGGAGTTGTGAAAATAACCCTTTAGTTATTAGTAAAATCACATAGGTATTTTCTAAATTAATGCTTTCTGTACTTCTAGAATTGCTATTCCATATTCTTGGCCAGACAGTAGAAGTTTGTTGCTGTTCAACAGTATGAAGTTTTCTTTATGTGGAAATTCTTGTGATTAAAAGTTGGTAAGGGATCTCCTTACATATTTTTGGTTTAAATCCCTGTTGAAAGAACTGCAGCTAGAGGGATTAGGAGAAAAGAATGGTGAGAGTTTCTCTAACTATAAATGCCATTTTCAGTAAGATTTATGCTCAAATTGTATTTCAGGTTTCTTTTTCCCATTATAGAAATGTTGTTGTTTTTGGAGTACCTCAAATGGTAAGCTTACTTTTTACTTTTATTATATTGTTGTGGTTTATTTATTATACTGTTTAATTATTTGTTACAAAATTTAATTATTCTAATGCCAAGGCACACAGTATTAATACATTAATCTGCAAAATGAATCAACCTGCAGGTGGTCAAAGGTATAATAATCATAGAATCATAAAATACTAGGAGTTGGAAGGGACCTCAAACATTATCAAGTCCCAACCCCCATGTGCATGGGGTATCTCACACTAGACCAGGTTGCTCAAGACCTTATCCAAACTGTCTTTGAACACTGCCCAGAGCCTCCCTGGGCAACCTGTCCCAGTGTCTCACCACTCTCACAGTAAAGAATTTCTTCCTAATGTCTAGCCTAAATTTCCCCTTTCAATTTTTATCAATTCTCCCTTGTCCTGTCTCTCCAATTCTTGATGAAGAGACCCTCTCCAGCTTTGCTGTAGGCTCCCTTCTGATATTGGAAGGTTGCTATGAGGTCTCCATGCAACCTCTAGTTCCAACCCCCCTGCTGTGAGAAGGGACACTTTTGACTAGATCAGATTCCTTCAGAGCTCTGTCTAACCTGGTTTGAGCAATTCCATGGCTGGGGCATCTACAACTTCTCCGAGCAACCTGTTTGATTGCCTCACCCACCCTCATGTGAAGAATTTCTTCCTAATACTCAATCTAAACCTACTCTCAGTTCAAACTTTCAGTTTGAAGGCCTTCCCCCTTATACTGTTGCTACATGTGCTTGTAGAAGGACCATCTCCATCTTGTAGGCTCCCTTCAGGTACTGAGAGGCTGCAGTTAGATCCTCCTGAAGCCTTCTGTTTTCCAGGCTGAACAAACCAATTCTGTCATCCTGTGCTTCTGGATTGCTTGTTCCTTTACTAAGGCGAGATGAAGTGAGTGAAGAGCTTTATGTGATGCCATACTATACAGCATACACTAGAAACATTTCTGCAGCAGTAACAGGAAGCATAATAAACCTTCCTATTCTGTGCTTTTTTGTTTGCTTGTTTGTTTTTAAAATGGCACCAGAAGTAAATCTCTACTTCAGATTTCAATTATAACTCATATTGGAAACTAAAGTGGATATGGGTGGGATATTAGTGAGCACCATGATTTTCCTCGTGCTGCCAGCCCTGGTTGTTATGTGCTCCCTTGCCTGAGTTCCGCCAGGGAGCATTTGAAATGTTTGGATTTTTCAGTCAGGAATTCTGCCATTGCACCGAGGGGAAAAGTGCTGGTGAGGAAAGCTGGCTCAGTAAACTAGGAATAAACAAATGCCCTGGGAAAATGTGAGTAAACCCAGCAGAAATACTGAGTTAACTTTTAAATGTAATGAAGCGGGATACATTAGTAATAGCTGTGATAGAAAGGGTAAGTATAGGGCTCAGAATAACTTTTGTAGATCCAGTAAATACTAGGTTAAATTCCTTCAGCAAAAGTACTGCCATAAATGCAACAGATGCAAACATATGAACCTCTGTATTTCCCGAGCATTTGTTTGCCCTTTAAATTTACTTTGGAAGTTGTTAATGCTCAGCCTCCTGAATGACTAAATTAATTTTCTAGAAACCTTAATGCATTTATTTTTTACTGAGGAACAGTAGATCACTTTAGCTTTTTTAGTAGTGCTGGTCTGATTTGATGCTTTTGTACAGTGCTTTTATTTCATATCCAACGTTAGCTTTAAAAACCTGAATTTATTGATCTTCAGGGAAGACTAAGACCTGTCTTGTTCTTGCAAACATCTGGGGTGAAGATGTGTTTGTTTCAAAGTTATTGCAGACAGATACTTAACTTGTTCAGGGTAGGATGATGGAATTCTTGCCAGGTGATCAAGTTTGCAGCTCCTGTTTGTTTTAACTGATTATATACTGCACAAAAGGTTTACTAAACTATATATATATGTTGGCACACAAAAAAATTCCCCTAAACCCTGACTTCACATAAAATACAGTATGATTGTAACACCTAATGTAACTGATGTATTTAGCTTAAAATCTAGTTTGACTGGTTCAAGGATATTATTATTTTTCGCTAAACTTGGCTGAACTGTTAATGATGTTTTCTAATTTGTGCCAATATGGACATGCAGTGTCACTAATTTTCATAATTACTCCTAAAAATTAGTCCATATCTATATATTTTCTGTAACAAAAGTTCTTCTGGTGTTTCAACTCAGTTCTAGATAACAAAGTGGGTTTATTTTTCCAGTTTGTTTAAGATGCTAGTAGGCTTATTTTTCTAGGTGTTTAAGGCAGCAATAATGTTTAAAAGCATTTGCAGTGTGGATGAAGTCAGAGCCTTAAAAATACTTGGAGGTAACTCCTTGGTACATTTGATCTATGGCTGTAATTTTCTTAAGATACTCCACTGTTAGCTTAAACGTAGCCATAATAGGATATTACATCAAAGTCACACCCTGCATGTATGTGATAGTGGAAGCTCTTTGAAGCCTTTGGAAATACCTTTTCTTTAGTCAGTCTTATTTTCTAATAATATTCTTTTGGGTTTTGGTTTTTTTTATCTTTTTTTGTGAAATTTTATGTATTTTTGTCTCTGATTTAAATTCAGCTATATTTGTAAATAACTATTGCCCTTTAAGTTTTTTTTGAATATTTAAACATTACATCATGATAACCAAAGTAAATAGTGTTTTACATGTTACAGAGGTAGCCTGTAGTGTTTGTCCTTAAAATTACTCATTCAGATAGATACAATATGTAAGAATAAAAGGACCTCCAAATGGGTATGGACTGCTGATGTGCTTAAATACGCATACATAATCAACCTTATCCAAAGGACAAAAGTGGCTAAATCTGTTAGGTTTCTTTTTTTTTTTTTTTTTCCTAGAACATAATCACTGTCTAGGATGGAAAATAAATTTAAGTCTGCATGTGTTAATTCATTTCTCACTTAATCTATGGCACAATTTGCAAAGCACTTACTAGAAAAAGAGTATCTGACTGGTCAGGGTGTTGCTCTGTTCTAGAAAACGAGTGATGCTTCCCCTGACTTTCATATCCTCTCAGTTTCTGTGAACAGAGGAAAGCTGGGCTGCAGATGTTCAGCCAAAGAGAGTTGCATAGTGGTATGTGAGATGGCTCCCCTCAGAAGCCTGCTCTCTAAACTGGGGAGAGATGGATTTGGTGGATGGACTGTTCAGTGGATAAGGAATTTTCTGGATAACTCCATTCAGAGTGTAATGGTCAATGTTTCAATGTCCAGATGAAGATCAAGTACAATTGGTATCCTTTGGGGGTCTGTATTAGGAGCAGTCCTGCTTAATATCTTCATCAATGGTACAAAACAGTGGGACTGAGTGCACTCTAAGAAAAGTTTGCAGATGACACCGAGTGGTGCAGTTGACATGCCTGAAGGACAGGATGCTATCCAGAGGGGTGCTGGACAAGAAATTGGCCCATGGGAATATTATGAGTTTCAACGAGACCAAATGCAAGGTGCTGTACCTGGGTCAGGGTAATCCCAAGTACCAGGCTGAGGGATGAACAGATCAAAAGCAGCCCTGACCAGAAGGGCTTAGGGTCCTGGGGGATGAGAGACTGGACATGACCCAGCCATGTGCGCACACAGCCCAGAAAGCCAAACATGTCATGGGCTGCATCCAAAGCAGCATGGCCAGCAAGGGAGGGAGGGGATTCTGCCCTACTGGTGGGACCCTATTTGGAGTGCTGCATCCATCTCTGGGCACCCCAGCACAAGACAGATGAAGATCTGTTGGACTGGGTTTAGAGGAGCCCCTTTCCTATGAAGACTGGCTGAGAGAATTTGGGTTCAGCCTGGAGAAGCCTTGACTCTGGGGAGACCTTATTGTGGCCTTTTTAGTAGGGTGTGTAGGGACAGGACAAGGAGTAATAGTTTTAAACTAAAAGAGGGCAGATTCATATTAAATATAAGTAAGAAAAAAATCATGAATGGGATAGAACACTGGAATGGGTTGCCCAGAGAGGCAGTAGATGGGAACTGGATGGGGCTCTGAGCAACCTGATCTAGTTGAAGATGTCCCAGCCCATGGCAGGGGTGTTCAGCTAGATTACCTTTAAAAAGTCCCTTACAATCCAAACCATTTCATGATTCTACATTCTATTTCATGGAATGCTGCTGAAGGGATTCACATGTTAATATATAATTATACATGTTAATATATAATTTTATATTGACTTATTTGAGCTCAGTTTCAATATTAATTAACATAACAGTATTTTACTGAAGAGTGACAGCAGAATGTTTGCTTTGGGTTGTTTTCTGTGTGATGTTTTGAGTGTCCCAGGATCAGTCTTGGGGTTGGACTGTGAATTTTGAGCAGTGATGGCCTTTGGATATCACACAAGCTCATGAACCTTGGGGTATCATAATTAGCATAAATTCCAGGGGCTGAACTTTCATTCTCTCAGAGGAGAATCCCACTGAAGAGAATTGTGAATTGGAAATGCAAAGTCTTTTCCTTGAAGTTTTAATTGGTTTGTTTTTGTGTTTGTTTTGTTGGGTTTTTTTTTAATTTAAGGGATAATTTATAGGTTTTGATTTAATTTTTGGATCTTAAAGTTATGATTCCCTTGATCTCACCAATTGGGGCACAATAACCATTTTCTGATTTTAGATACTCTTTGTCAAGGCATCAAAGCCAAAATATGTGTCATGGTTACTTTCCTAAGATTTTTCAAAAGAAATTGCTGAAATCTTGGATTTCTCTTGAACACCTGAATTAGATGCTAGAGAGAATGTTCCTGTTTGTTACTGTTTCTGAGAGGTTCTTCTTGTAACTCAACAGATGCCACAGCTGGAGAAGAAGCTGGAAGAAGAACTTGAATGTCATGCCAGAGTCATTGCCTGTCGCTTCCCTTTCCCTTGCTGGATTCCGGATCATACTACTGGAGAGGGAATAGACACTGTGTGGGCCTATGATTTGAAACATTCTAGAAGATGTGAAACAAAAAGCTTGGAAATTACACCAGAGACAGAATCTTAAACATCTAATTTGGTTACTTACAGAAATTTTTGTCTTTGACTGGACCTGTTGAAGATAAGATTAATGTGGAGAGAGTCCTGGCATATGAAAATGTGTATTCACTATAAAAACTGAAGTACAGTGGTTGTCTGAAACACACAAAGGTTACTGAAAAAGTGTAGTTAAATGACTTAATACAGTCATTTATACAGTGTCCTGGTTTAACCCCATCTAGCAGTGAAGTACCACACAGATGTTCACTCACCCATACTCCCCCTGTAGGATGGGAAAGAAAACTGGAAAAAAAGGTCATACTCATGATCATGGATTGAGATAGGAATAATTTAATAATTGAAATAAATTTACTGATAATAATAACAAGAGAGGAGTAAAACCCAAGAAAGCTGAGTGATGCACTGTACCCTTGCTCACCACCCACTGATGGTTGCCCACTCCATCCCATAGCAGCAACTGGTCCCTCCTTACCAACTCTCCAATTTATATACTGGACATGATGTTCTATGGTGTGGAATATCCCTTTGGCCACTTGAGCTCAGCTGTCCTGGCCATGCTTCCTCCTGGCATCTTGCATACCCTCCTTGTTGGCAGAGCATGAGAAATTGAAAAGGCTTGGATTAAGTACTGTTCAGCATCAAGTAAAACCATCAGTGTGTTATCAGCTTTAGTCTGTTCTAAATCCAAACCACAGTGCTGTACCAGCTATCAGGAAGAAAGCTCACTCCCAGCTGAAAGCAGAATATGTAGTTAGTCAAAATTACAAAAACGTTTTTATAGAAGTGGAAAACTTCAATATGAAAAAGCAAATTAGGCTGGTCT